TTAACAAATGGTAAACACCACAGCGTACACTATTGAGTTATGAATGCACTTGGGAGGTTTGCTAAGCACTCAAGAAGCTAGAGTCGCTCTCGGCTATCGCCTCGAGCGACTCTTACGCTTCTTTCGTGCTTAGCAACCTCCCAAGTGCATTCATAACTCAATAGTTTCGCCTCGAGCGACTCTTACGCTTCTTTCGTGCTTAGCAACCTCCCAAGTGCATTCATAACTCAATAGTTTCGCCTCGAGCGACTCTTACGCTTCTTTCGTGCTTAGCAACCTCCCAAGTGCATTCATAACTCAATAGTTTCGCCTCGAGCGACTCTTACGCTTCTTTCGTGCTTAGCAACCTCCCAAGTGCATTCATAACTCAATAGTTTCGCCTCGAGCGACTCTTACGCTTCTTTCGTGCTTAGCAACCTCCCAAGTGCATCCATAACTCAATAGTGTACGCTGTGGTGTTTACCATTTGTTAAGTAGTTCTTTCTTTTTTTGCCAAATCGGAAAATTTCTTATCGTACAGTTTGTTATCATACTCGTGATAAACAAATCTGACTTCCGCTCTGCGATCGTCCGATTTTGTTATCACTCGTATGATTACAGACCAAATTGGACTCCACTTAGTCCTATTACCGTTACTTCTTATGCACACAAAGAATTAAGTCTGACTTGCGTAGCGCGCGCGAGATCTGAACTGTTTTTATGCTATAATAGATAGATCTGAGAGCGGCGAAGTCGTGATTAGATAGTCTGTCGAGCGGGAAAGTAAATGTTTTCCCCTCCAACTTTCTCGCTGCTATTTTCTGCTCTCAACTGTTCTTTTCGCTGTCTGCTTGGAAAATCATGATCGGACAGAGTAGAGAGGGGCTGCTTGGGGTTTATGACTGCATGGCGAACGCCTCGCTTCCTTGGCTAGATGCATGCTCTCGTCGTCGTGCCTAGTGTAGTGCGTTTCTGGATAAATATTTAAATAAAGTCGTAAGCTACCGCCTTCTAAGCTGTAATATTGTTCAGCTTTATGCAACCGTCGTCCCTACTCGTCCCCCGCACCGTCGTTATTTGCACCAAGCCAATCCTACCAGTATCACTCTCCACCGCTCGTATCCTAATCGGAAACTTCGACAAATCCCTCGTGTGTTCTGAAGCTGTAGTGCCAATTTTCAAAAATGGCCATATAGGATCATTTTTCGCTTGTGTAACAAAGCCTATTGTAATCAATGTAGAGCCACTTTTCTTGATACGCCAACATTCCTGAGATTACCAGTCAATATATAGATTTAGCTAAGCCTAAAAGCGGAGCTGGCCTTTTTTTTTTTCCGCACGTCTCAAGGGCACAACGCCTTGCCCCGGTCAGGACTAGAACCTGGGTCGTCCATTGCACTGGCCACTGGACTACTGGACAAAGCCGTGACGTTGGCGTGCCCGCGGTACAGTTGACCGCGGATGCTAAAAGTAGCATCTTGTACGGACGTGCGTACGGTCATAGGTCCAAATTTTTTAGGCTTGATGGGTTACTATTACCATTTTGTATAATTATGGGGCTACGCTCTGCGATCTCCAGTATAACATGTTTTTATAATTTGGATATATCAACAAAGTCGAAATGGTAAATTGGCCACCGTAATGATTACAAAAGCTGACGTTTCGAGCGTTAGCCCTTCGTCGGAGCGAATAGAGGAATTGTGGGTTGTGTGTGCTTTTAAAGGCAGAAAATGGAGCTACGTTATTGGTGGGTGCATGGCAACGAGAAAAACATGAATAAATTAGTGGAATGAAAAGCGTTCTTTGATCCCTGTGGGATTTAGACTGCCGGTTTGAAAGATGAGCTTTTGTTCAAGATTTTAACATGTTTTTATGTTTTATGGATGTCTTTCCTCGTAACAGGACCGATCTCTAGAAATTTATAGGGAGACATCTCAGTCACAGGAGGAACTGCCGGTTCGCGAACCTTCAACTTCTATGAAATTGCCTTTAGGTGATGCAGGTGAGAGCTGTTGGAATGTTAGATGTTAGAATAGAGGTAAGAAAGGTGAAAGAAATAATGCTAGAATATGGGTAGTGCAACCGTCTTTGGATATACTTTTCATGTTGTAACTTTGGTTAGACCTTTTCGAATGAAAGTACACTTTGCACGGTTAGGCGGCAAGATTTGGCTGCTCCTTTTCTTTATTATTTGAAAACTTTGCGACATTAATAGAATAGATATTATTGTTTGTTTTGAAAGGTCCGCTAGGTACTTTTTCCAAGAAGGCTTCATATTGCACCGACTACATCCGGTGCAGTCTAATTACGTATCCCCTCACTTTATTGTATTAAGTGATCTCTAGACATTTTAATGTGTAAATCCTCGCATAGTCTGTCAACAACTGAATTAGTTTCTTCTTCCGTCGCCATAATTTCCTCCATTGATATGGTTTGGGTGCTTGTTTTGTACATCGACGCTCTGTCATGATAAACGCGGGTGCATTGTCATGATTAAAGATAAGCATGACTAACTTCATCAACTACCTGTAGTTTTCTTGCAATAAGTTTAATTACCTAAATTTTTATTTTTTTTAAGTTTTTGCATCCCCGGTGCCCAGGAGGATAATTTTCACGTAAGTTTGTTTTTTGGAAGAATATGATTGAGAAACGCATAAAAAAATTTTTTTGATATGTGCTCAACTGATTGCTGTGTTTAGACGACTTGTAAAAAGTGAATGAATGGCGTTGAGTGGATTTTTCAAATTAGTATTGTTACCTTCTTTTGCTTCTAAAATGTTACTATGTTTTTGAGAAGGAATCATGTTTTCTCTTAGGGACACCGTAGGAGAGGAAGGTTTAACATGGATTCTTAAGAAAACTGGTGTTTTGGTAAACTTTCTTCCGGATGCAGTACCAGACCCGAGGCTAGTCACGTGCTATTTATGGAGAACAGATGGTGTTTCGTACCCTCTTAAAGAATATGAATCGCTTGTGAGCAACGTAATAGAGCTTTCATGTCATCATGTACTTGGTATATCGTTTAACTGCGTATCAGTAGCTTTGTCACATAGTGCAGTTAAGCTGAAAGGAATGGAGTTGGTGATGAAGGAATTGACCGATCCAGTAAAGAACGTTTGGAAGGATCTAGAAAGTGAAGAGTTTCAACCACAAGGTAGGTAATGGTAAACTATGATATCTGTTATACCATGATCTGAGCTCTAATACTACGGTCCTCTTAAATGGTGTACCATGGTCCTCTTATAGGGTACAACAACAACTCATGTTTAACACAGCAATAGAATATTTTCGGGAATATATGTTATTCACCAGCCGGGAGGTAAAAACTGTACCCGAGGTCTTGGACACCGCCCGAGGCCGTAGGTGGAACTCAAACAGAGGGCGCATGTTTTCCTATATATATGGACCGACCCTGACTGGTGAATAACATTTTTATTTTTTCTAACACTAAACGAAATGTTTGCCAGAAGAACCCAAATGATTTAGGGCTACAATTGCGAGTTTAACGACGGAAAGATTCACTATAAACTAAACAATTTTCTAGCGTATAGATGATAAAAGAAAACAGAGGTTAGTCAAATGAAAGAGAGAGGGGCTTCACCGAAACATATTTATTTACGTAATGGTAAAGGTAACTTAAAGGCTTCCAAGTAAACTTTGAAACATTTTTTAATGAGTATCTGTCACGATCTGACACCTGTCGATTGGAGAGGAAAAACAGCGCATACACTTTTGAATTAACAACATACCGATATGGGAGACACACACCAGTTAAATGGCCATTGCGACAGTCTTTCCTAAACAACAGTCAGAGATGTTACGGAAAGTATTTTTCATTTTCAACGACGATTATTCTTCGGAGATTTGTCTCTGTTCAGTTTTAAATGTCACGGAAAGTCAAATTTTTGGTGAATTCAAATGGGTGTTTTGCAAAATACTTCTCGTTTTAACTTTCTAAGTTATTTCTTGTAAGGGATTACTAAATTACAAATGGTATTTAGGCCATGTGTCAATCTTTTTAAAAACAATTAAGTACAAAAAAACCAACCAGATCGCAGGACTTGTAGAATGCCGCCCGCTTACGAACTAAGAGAAGAATAAATAGTAGTACGTACGCGTTTCTATATGACTCAGCACCAAAAGAAGTAGAATACAGCGAAACATTTGAAAGCTTAGCGTGATAACTTTACTGAGGAGTGAAAGACATATGAAGGTATCTGTGAAGATGTCTATAAACTAGTTTCGAAAATCCTCACGTTCTTACAAGAGTGAATTCCCATACCCTTAAATCAGCGGAGACCTATAATATGTAGAGTTTCTGTCACTATTTTCTTTACTATTTTTCAAGTAAAAAGCTTCTTCTGCAAAGTAGCTCCTTAGGGCGTTCTCGTTTTGAGGCTCGAAGAAACAGATATGTTAGATTATAATTTGGATCGACAAATGTGCTTCGCTTGGTTACTAAAGTTAAAACCTAACTCGGTTACTTGAAAATTGTCAAACTTTTATTTCCCGTGTTTGCCAAAATGGTTTTGTACTCAGTTTACCCAATGGATTTTTTTCACATCTTCCTTAATTTCTCTATTAGGAGAAACTAATTGTCAATGGAATGACAGGGTTATGGAAAACATATAATCTGTCACTGTTTTTTACAGATCTCCTTGATGAACATTCTGGATGGCAAGGCACTTCACCGTTAGTACAGGCCAAAATAACAAGCTTTTCTCGTTATGCCGTGATTTGCCGTCTTAAGTCCTTTCTATTTCGAAAAGGGACTTCCAAGAAATGCCATCAATTTGCATGCAACGTGCCAGACTTCCCAGGCGTTAGTGTATCAATTCCGGAGACTTCCCTGCCTTCAGAGCCAGACTTTATGTTTACAATGAAGGTAAAAAACACGCGGGTGAGCTACGATGTAACCTACCATGAATGTGACCAAAACCCTGAAAAAGAGAGTGACAAACACGCAAACAAGACAAATAGTTTAGGCAGGGGAAATTAGCACGGTGATCCAACGAGGGTTTTTTTGCCTAGACGACAAAAAAGCTACCGATCTAGATGCTAACTTCGATTCCTTTTAATCCGGAGTTCTCGTCTCACTTAAACTGCAAAGGGGCCCCCGTGCTCATCATATGATTGGTTTCAGGTCTTACGAGCCGACGGTTACGTAAGCTGCGGCAGGTTTTGTTCATATAAATGGCCCTAATGTGTCATATGAAAATTTCACCTCAGGTGGAGGAAGTTTCAATCGGTAATTTCGAGGAAAATGGCATTCTTGTTGGTCCAATCCTACATCTGTTATGTAATTCGTTAGACGAAGTCAAAGGACGTGTCTCTGTAAGTATACCCCTTGTCCCACAACAAAAGCAAGTTGACTGGACAGAAATACCCACCGGTCGTGTGAGAGTATTTTCACGAGGTGGAGAAGACAAGTTATGGGAGTGGATGGATATCATAAACGAATTGGCAGAGCCGCCAAGATTAAACAATGGAATTGTGACCTTTCAATTGAACGGAATCAAGAAATATCAAATCAATCAGAATTTACAGTAAGTATTGACGTCAAATTACTTTTTCATAACACGTGTCGATTAATCTGTAAGTTCAGTGAAACATTTCTAGAGAATCACTCGTTTAATCCAAGCAGGAAGTCCTATGGAAGTACAAAACAATAGCCAAAGTTAGAAAGTTCGCGGGCCGAGCGAAAACCAGTCACTGGTTATGGTCAAGGGTTGAGTTTTAATTCAAGAAGAAGTCGAGTGAGAAATGTTCTCAGCCGGTATAGAATTATGAGTACGAATAACCATGAACAATGAGACGTATAATCCTACCACCAAAAGATTGTGTCAGTCATAAAATGCAAGAATAACGGATCTAGAATATTAAAGTCAGGAGAAGCATTTTATTTAGAATATCAACCTTAAGTTAAAGTTAAAATGATTCATAAGTTAAAATGATTCATAAGTTAATGGTTCATAACTTAAGTTAAAATGATTCATTTGTATTTAAGCCGAATACGGGGGAACCTACTCACCAATGATTTTCCATGATTTCGACCGCCTGGAACTGTTACGGGACAGATGTATTCAGGCAAAAAAACTGTATTTTAGCGGTTTCCGCATAAACCCATACATATGACCAGAAGGAACACTTTTAAATAAATGTATAAGATGGTAGTATATATGTTCAGTGTCACTCGCTTTTCTTTATTCTTTGGTAGGTATTGGGCGATGTTTAATTTTTCTAAGGAGCGTGTGGATAGTAGAGAACGTTTCGATGATTCCTACAGGCCTCAAGAAGTAGGGTTTCTGGCTTTCTTGTGTAATCAACAACATCTGGAAGGGAAAAAGCTAATTCTGTGCTGTTTCCCATTTCATATGAAAAGTGAACTTAAAAGAGATATAGCCTCGAAGTTTGAAGTTCTCCGGCAGGGTGAAGGCAATTCATGCAAACCACTCTCTAAAGGGGATCTAGTTTACTTTTCTGTTTCAGATGGCCTTACTCCAGTTGATACAGGGTTAGATCTGGATAACACCCCTCTTACGTAAGTTCCTATTGGAGATGAATGAAATGTTTTGTTTACATCATAATTAAAATTACACCTCTACGGCTGATGGTTCTTCTTAACATTTCTAATTTCTAATCCATTTTTCATTGCATTATCGCAGTAGGGTAGGACTAGAACGGAACATACACGATCCATGCGAATAGTCCACCCATTAAATCTCACCCATTCCACCCCAGGGATGGCGGTTAGCTCAGTGGTTAGAGCTATTCAAATTGAAAGGGACAAATCATTAAACGCCAGGATTTATAGATGGCTCAGCTTTCTATGGAATATTTAGCAGAGCGTCATTAACTCAACGTGGATGTACACGGTGGTATTTCACACATCGCCATTCATAGATTTACCAATGGAAAAAATTTTTCTATGGGTCTCTTTTTCAGGGTATGCTTAATAATTTTTCGGAATGCTCCTCACTTGATTGACACCTTGCCATGCCATGGCCAGTTGAAGAAGAAGAGTAATTGTCTCGGACCAAAGGAAAATAACAAAAACTGGAATGTTCGCGTTTAGGGAATAGATCGAATTATGAACTTTCGTCCCCAATTTTAATAGGGAGGTGTTTTTTTCTCACTTTCCATATTACTGAGAGGTAAGAAAGGAAAATCTGATGACTCACCTACTGACCGGTTAGCTCAATGGATAGAGCGCTGGACTGGTGTGCGGGAGGTCGAGGGTTCGGGCCCCGGCCGGACCAACACTCAAGGTCTTAAAATAATTGAGAAGAATATGCTGCCTTTCTATAACATCAAGAAATGGTTTAGATATTCTAGTCTTCTCGGATAGGGACGAATAAATGGAGGTCCCGTCTCCTGGAGGGTTAGGGGTAGGAGACGTTAATTTCCCACGCACGAGATTACTGTATGATAGATGTCCTCCCCTGGGGTGGGATGGGTTGGTTGTTCGCTTGCGTTTCATACATGAGCCTCTGGCTCGGGCAATATGGGTAACCATACCCCACGTAAAGACATTAAACTTTGATTACTATTACCATTGCTTTTACCATTACTAACTGTCTTTCAAGAGGTACTTTAGAGACATTTATTTTGGAGTCTCGCGTTTACACGGTGAGATGCAAACGACGATACTTTCCCTTGATTTTATCTTAGTAAGAAATTCCCTTGGCGCGTTAATCGTTTTCATCTAATAACTTGATAAATCGTCGAGTTGATGGATAATTACACAAAATTTTCAGGAAAGAGTTATTCAAAACCAAACTGTAACTTTTTGAGACGAGATTGTTGCGTAAGTTCCTTTTGTTTTCTTCCTTGTAGGTTTCTTGATGGAGAAAAATTTCAAACAGAGATTCTAGTATGTTGTCAAAAGACAGGAGTCACACCAGAAGTAATGTTTTCCAAACAGAAAAATGCCTCAGGAGAAAAGGAAAGTCTGAGTACTTTGTCACTTCTTCAAACGCAAGCACTTAAGGTAGGTACCTGATGCGTGATATCACATAACAAGTTCTTTTTTCTTTGCATTTGAGTTCTATATTTTACAAATCGAAGCTAAAGCTCAACTGCCAAATACTCTTTTCGAGAAAGATAACAGACGGTTTCCCTTGAGGAAGAAAGACGAAGCTCCTTCTCGTGCTTATGGTTAAATTTCTCTCAGTAACGAAAGAGACCAACCAAACAAGAGGGCCACGATTATTGTTACCGTTGTTCGCTTTTGTAAATCTCCTCTCCCGTCTCTTCGGAAGCTAGGCTTCTGACATGACATGAAAACTTGCATAATAGCTCGGCAATAAAATTGACTAAGACAAAGGTATATGTAAAAATACTGTAAATGTAAGTACAGGACTTGCTTCCAATCGGCGAAAACTTAATCATGTGTGCAAGCAGAAATTTTGCTTGACGTTTGCTGACAGTAGTTTTTGAGATGGTAGTCAGTACTTGCTTTCCTAAAGACTTCTTTTTCTCTGTTGCAGGATCAATTTCAAGATTGCGAACCTTCACCTCTGCCAAGAAGACCTGAAGTTGATGAAGGTGACGTCAGTTCATTTTTAGAAGCAACAGAAATCTTTCTTTAGATTGTATCCGTTGACAAAAGCGAAGGTCGTTCATGTGACAAATCTAATTATGTACTTCTGAAAGGAAAGTGCCCCCGTTTCAGTAAGCGGCTCCTTTCAGCTAGCACCCCCTTCGAATTTGTTTTTTGGATAAATGCCCCTATTCTAATAAGTACCCCTATTGCGTAGGTACCTGACTGCACAATTCCTCAAGGCCACACAAAAAAAGAATCTGACATAAAGTTAACGATTATTACTTTTAGGCCAGAAAAACTCTCCTCATAGGGACCAAGACTTTTGAAGTTGATTGTTTTTACATTGTAAAAATACCCTTAGATTACTCAGTTATTAAACTTTTTAATGATTCAGTTGTTAACTACTCCTAATTTAGTCCGACTCTTAACAATTGTTAAATCCCTGGCTTAAGATAAGCTTTTACTATTTTTCGATAGCCATAAAGAATGAATTGAGAAAGAGAGTTTTTACTCTTCGTCGATGGTTGCCAATTAAGGAAGACGTGGGAACCTGTTGGTTTGACCTTGGCTTAAAACTTCAGATTCCTTATGGCGAACTTTGCAATATAGGAGAAGATTATCCTCACGCTAAAGATAAAGGATCTGCCGTACTTCGATCATGGTGGAACAGAAATGGGCGTGATGCAACTGTAGGATGCCTTTTGGACGCCTTCGAAAACATTGGTCAAAAGAGGATTGCAGATGCATTCGTCGGTGAGCAAATGCAAAGATATTCGTTTAAAAATCACAGTAAAAAGCAACATATTTACACAAGCTCTTCTTAAAATATTATGGCTACGATTTTTTTGCCCAGTAAAAAGGGAAAAATTGGCTGAACCCATAAGATTTAAATCAGCTTAAAATATTAAAAAAAAAAAAAAAAAAAGCGAAACAAGATGTATAGCCCTTTTAGATTGTTTCGCTCGTCAGAACTGGAAAAATCTGTGCGTACAACCATTATGCACATGAATCCATAGTAACGGTTTGGCTAGATAAAAATTGCGGTAATTTCCAAAATGGCACAGACCTTGGTTCCCTCCAGAATAACTGACACGCTTACATGCAAACTTATCGCCATCCTCGTAAAGATATTTTGCGTTGTTGTGGGAATCGGCATTTAAGAGGTCCTTAGTTAGACTACCGAGGTAAGTATAAGAAGAGTAAACTGAGTTTACGAATAATTTGTGGTACACACTTAATCAGCGTGAAGTTGAGAGTAAAGACTCGTGTCCGAGTACACAGCACTACGGCCAAGCTAAGGCCTCGATCCAGACTCCAAAATTCACTCTGCACTAACTTCCAGGCCAATGAGTTTCTCACGTTCCAAAGCAAACAGGTCACAGTAGATTATGTTTTTAAGGTAATAAATGTTATCCACATATACCCTCCTTTCCGGTCAGAATGGACTCCATAGCCTCTAAAATTCACGACATCATATGCGTAGATTGCGAGAGGCTTGCGTGCATACATCATCGTAAATAATATAAATTTGCGCTTATCCATCGAAAGCGTTACAGAGGCTGCTACAGCATTAGTAGCGTTTCTGCAAGCAACAAATAGATAAAAAGTTTGGGATGAATGGTAATTTCGACCTTGTCTCTAGCAAATGTTTGTCTGGCCAGATCAGTTGTAGGTGAATGAATTTTGTTCAATCACCTAACGTTAAAGACCTACATCAAACCTGTAAATACAGGTTCTACAGAAAAAGGTATTATAAAAAAACGATAGAAAAGCGCTACTTTGTGCCATAATTGACCTCTAAATGTCTCTTAAAAATACTACAAACATTGCTTTCGGAAGAGAAACAATAACTTTTTACTTCAACATAATTCTTAGTTTAATTTGGCTAGTTTCGCTCTCAGTGACTGTTCACTGCACGTGGAAGGCAGTACAAAAAGGCTGTCGAGACTCACTTGAAGGTGACTATGTTTGCTTTATACCGGATGACTGCTTAATACGGTACCGCTTAATACAGGTTCGAATGTATTTCATATCCGGCAGGGCTCTGTCCCTTGATGATGCCTGTTCTTCCTCGTGCACTTTACTAATGATGTCTCCAAAGCTTTTTAAGCTAGAGATATTCCTGGAGACTGCGCAGACACCACATTTTGCATCGGATCGACTGCAGGTAAAACTTTCGATTCCCTATACCGAACATTCATACTAGATTTATTGGTGCATATTTAACTATTCGAGTCCTCACTCGGAGAAATGTAACCAGACAAGTTGTTCGGGGCCCCAACACCCATCATTAGAAGGCAGACAGCGTGATATGAGTTTGATATAACTATAGACTCACCTCGAGCAAACCTTTCGCCCAAAAGTTCATATTGCTTGGAAAGGATCTATTTCGAGGAAAAGTTGCGGTCTTCCATTTATCTGAGACATTCGGCATTCTTATCATGGGAGGCTTAAAAGAGATGAATAAAAATCTGCGCATGCCACAAGTACACCCGTGAATCCATAGCTACGGTATCGCTAAATAAATATGGCGGCACTGTGATTTCCAAAAAGTTACAGGCCTTGGTACCCTCTAGAAGAACTGAGCAATTACATGCAAAATTATCGCCATCCTGGGACAGCTACTTCGCTTTGTTGTAGGAATCGGCATTTAAATGGTCCTACGCATCCATAGTAATACTTCTCAAGTTCGAAATTCATTAACACTTATACCACCTACGTTTGTGGCCGTCCGTTATCAAAATTTTTCCAACGTGTAAGTTTACAGTGCAAAGAAAGAAGAACGAGCAACCATAGTTAGCATTGATCAAGCGTCAAATGATCCCATCTCCTTTGGAGTTTTCTCCCTGTTGCCAAAAAAAGAGGTATCTATCTCACCCATTTCAAAGGGTTCGGGTCTTTGGAAACCAAAGACCCGACCCGTGTATAGTTTCCTTTTTTTCATTCTTACTAGTTATATTGTATATATTCATACATTTTATTAGTTTCTTTACTTATCTTGTAATTATATTATATTATATTAGTTTCTATTTTCATATTGTATTATACTAGTTTTTATATTGTAATTATTTCTGAGTGAGGGCCACAAGTTTATTAGCTATGCTATTATGTGTTACCCTCGTAAAATAAAGTCTTTATTATTATTATTATTATTATTATTATTATTATATAACCTGTCGGATTAAATATAAGGAGAATAACTGAGTTTACGAGTAGTTTGTGAACACACATAATTTGTGGTATACACTTAATCAGCGTGAAGTTGAAATGCAATACTTGGTGGAGATAAACACTCGTGAGAGCAAAGACTCGGCCAAGGGGCCAGGCTAAGGCCTCACTTTAGACTCCAGACTTCACACTGCACCAACCTCCAGGACACTGAGTTTCCCACGTTGCAAAGCAAACAGGTCACAGTATATCTCATTACCTTTTAAATAGTTAAAGGTATCTGCTACCCTCTAATCTCCGGTCAGAATGGATTCCATCGCCTATAATATTTCCGTCATCAAATGCGTCTTTTATAATTTTTGATGCTGAAACTCAAAACAACATGGCGCTCATACAGGTAATAAAAAAAGATGACTATAGATTTTAACAAGTGGCATTTTCATATCTTTTGATCTAGACCTTGAACTTCAGGAAACGTATAAAGATCAGACGGAAACGAGTCGAAAACTTCAAGAGAAGTGTAACAGACTTAAGTTTGAGATCTGTGATTGCAAAAACGTCCAGGAACGTCTGAGGTCAGAAATCCAGATTTACGAGAAAGACAGGGCATGCCTGAAGTCAGAGATCCAGGATTACAAAGAAAACGGGGCAAGTCTGAGATCAGAAATCCAGGTTTACAAAGGCCTCATCAGTACACTTCGTGATGAATTAAGCCGAACACGTTCACCAGTGGAACCTCAATCAACCTAAAGAGGAAAACAAAAACAGAAAATGGCACTAGCTCTTCAAAATAAATGAAAACAAAAATAGAAGTGAAACTGAAAGTTTTAAATTTTAGTCGTTCGTCAAATGTTGAGACTTCTCTAAAAGTCTAGAGGACTAGCAAATGGCTTCAGGAACATAATGCAGCAAGGAGGTTTTTAATCATAACTGCGTACATTCTTACATAGAGAAGAATATTGACGATCGCCTTACGGTCGCTTTGGTGTGAGTTTGTGTACTGTGTCACCATGAGTGCAATTATACTGGTAGTAGTAGAGATGAAAATTTAGAAAATCGAAGGAACGCGATTGTGTCTTGTAACTTAAGGCGAATGCATGGCGGTCAGGTTAAGAGGTAAAATATGTAATTTTTTTATCGTTCCTTCTTGAGATGTAACAAAGATCATTTTAGGGGGAAACACGAGACGTGGTCGAGTCTTTCTCGCCACTTGTTGAGTGCTTCAGCCGCTTTCTTAGTGCTTTACAACAGAACAGAACACAGTCAACGTTTTTGTATCGTTTTTATTGTAAAGATCCCGTCAAAGTCTCTGCACATTACTTTATTTCTTTGAAAACAAACTTTATTTCTGGAGCGAACAAAAGTGTGGACAGCCGATTTTATAGAATACTTGTTAGAAGGGTTCAAATAATCTGATTGGTCGAGTAAGACTACACCTGTGAAAACTGTAAAATCTTCAGAGTTTACAGTCTGCAATAGTTAGTAAACCATAATGGTTTAGCAGGTCGAATTCAACACTTGTGCTTTTGGTTTTTCAGTCATCCGAATCTGAAATTGAAGTGTTCAGCAAAATCTAGCCGAATTGTGACTTATAAAAACCCATCAGATTTTTCAGTAACATGACAATTAAAAAACAAATTACTCAATGCGCTATGTTTTAGGAATGAACCACAGCCGAATTCAAGGTAACGTGAAGATTACTTGGGGTGACAGCGGCTGCTGTGGCCCAAGCTGAAGGAGTCATTTCTGTGGGCGCCTAAGGCCCCATCCTGTTCCTCTCTTAGGTTTTCTTTCCCTTGAGTGCGTGGGCAAATACAGTATGCCTCAAAATCCTCCCTTTCCCTCGCGAGACGTAAGGCACTTGCCAGACTTGCCTGTTCAGAGTAACGATGAGCTGTACAGATAATCTTTCCTAAATGTTAAATTGTCCAGCAAAAATGGTAAGCTCACTGAAATAGTTTGCTCAGTGTGGGGTATCTCTGAACAAAAGATTAAGATAGGGTCACTCCACACGCAGTTTTCAATAACGAGCAAAAATACCGCTTGAAAAATATTTCCTCCTAATTTGGAAAATGTTTCGTCTTTTTTTTTTCACAAGGATTCCTCATCTTTAAGTGTTCACCACCATAAGGATTGCGAAGGGATTTAATAAAGGCAGACAAAAAGGTTGCGCTATTTTTTAACATCATTTTGTGATTAATCGCACACATTTTCATTTGTTTGTCTGAAATTGATATTGAAAAATAAAATGCTCAATTGATTCTAAGCAAATTTTGTTATTTTCTTACAACTGAAGTTACCATAGAAACCATTGAACCTATCAAAAGCACCCTTATGTATGTTGCTTTATGCACCTGACTCAAAAACAAGCATATCTTTCAGCAAAGTTTAAAAAGGAAAAATTGCATTTTGCAGATCAGAGCCACCTTATTTATCTTTGTAATTTGAGGTGCTAAAGGTTATTCTGGTGAATGAATCTAAAAGCTAACCCTCTTTGCGTCCTCAGACAATGGGTCTTACTGTATCGAAAATTCAGCAAACTACACAAAAACGTTGTACTTATCATAGGCAGTATAATCATACAACTGAAATCCCTCTCGTAGCTAGCCATGGTTTACTAGAGGTATTGTAATTCTTTTACAACTAGTCTTCTACTGTCATCGTTCTATAGTTTTAATTTCATATTTGTTCTTTATTGTCTTTTTTATGTTAAAACCAATACACTTTTTACCATATGGGTGTAAGCGGTGCGACGCATTAGATTGCACATACGATTTTCTCGTATTATCTCTTCATAATTCTATTATTCTTAACGACTATTTTTTTTTCCTATTTCCCGATACCAGTAAACGTTTATGATGTGTTGAACACTGTCCACTAGGGAAGAGTACACTTCCTGCTTGTCATTTTAAGGTTTTCTTTTATTGATTGAACAAGATATTGTTTGACCGAAAAACCTGCATCTGACCGGCTTTGTTTACTTTCTCCTATCTAAATAACCCAGCGTAACCTACGAGATACTCTGGCGTGACACTTTGTCACAGGACTCGTGACGTCACCCTATGGATAACTGTTTGAGGTTACTAAACTGTATCAGAAACCCCATGGATGGCCATTAGAAGCTATTATACATGATTGGGAAGTTTATTTACATTTATCACAACCGCACTGAGGGGCCGGCGCCCGCACCACATGTAGTAATTAATATATTCAGCTCGTTAAAAGACGTATAAGCAAGGTTGTACTTTATAACACAGTTATTTATGACTAATATAATTTATTGATACATAGTAAAGAAAACTTGCAATTTTCCACCCCAACTTGCCTATATCACATTAAATGAAGATTGATTTAGTTGACACATTTTAATCGCTCCTTGTTTCTTTGGCTGATAGAAGCCTGCAATACTGTTTGAGCCCATTGTTCAGTGCATTGCCAATTTATTCAACCAACTATTATATCTAACGCTTGACTTCGCATTCTAGCAGTTTTTCATTCGTAGAAACATTTCTTTCTTCGAATTCTTTGAGCTCTATACTTGGTTTCTAACTTCCTCACAGCCCGGAATTTTCCTACCGTTTGGCTCGACATAACTCTGAAAAGGAAAAACAATCACATAAGAAATTGTGTTCGCGCCACTATCCCACTGTAACCCATAGTCGGTGTCTTGCTATGGCAGGAACAGAACTGTTCGCTAAAAAGATTCCGCGCACGTTTTTGCGCCAAACGAAGGCCATTGTTGACATATTATATTAATTGCATTACAGAAAACCGCTTTCTTGGACGATAAAAACAGATTTACATACCTAAGAAATTTTCTGCAATTCTTCTTTGACCAATGCTTTTAAATGCGTCGAAAAGGCATCCTACAGTTGCTTTACTCGCTCTCTTATTTCTACATGATCTAAGTACAGCAAGTCCTTTTTCTTTAGCATATTTATAATCTTTGCCTATATTGTGAAGTTCGCCTTCTGGTAGCTCAAGAACTACTCCAAGGTCCAGCCAACAGGTTCCTGCGTCTTCCTGTATTGCCATGCATCGTTTAACATTAACGACCTCTTCCCTCAGATCTTCGTTTTCAGCTGCAGAATATGAAGACGAAACTAATTATATAAGGCGAAGTACATTGTTCGCTACACATCATTCATTAAAAAAAACCGGAACATAAAAGGTTCAAATATTTTTATTAATTTTCCTTCCGAAGTCCTGCCAGCAGAGTTTCTCCCATGGATAAGGCAACAGTATCCTTAAGCAGTACCTTCCCTTCGCCACATTATCACCCATCACCATTGTTAAGATCTGCACCCGATGCTATTTTCGGTCTATTGTGTCTCTTACAAGCCTATAAGGTGCTATTAGTATTGTTTAAAGAATAATGAATTAAAGGAATTTGTTATTAGCTTTATGGAGGGTTCACTGTTTGAACTTTAAATAATAAGAAAAACCTTCGGCATTTTATTACTATCACCCTTGCTATGTTTTATACAAATTTTGGGAGAGATAATTCAAAATCGGTTGTCTGATTTACTTTGAGATCGATTTCGGTGGTAATCTTTTTTTTCACTGAAGAACTGAATCATTTGTGGGAGTTGTTGGATGAAGCAGACCTGACTCGCCAAGAGAGTCAGCATCCCCTCCCCCTCTTCGGGTAAAAAATAAAGTAAATCTAAGAAAAAATCTAAGAACTAATCTAGGAACTTACTTGAGTCAGGTGTCCGTCTTGTCCTGTCAGCGGCTTGCTCTGAGTTTTCACCCCTTCCCAGTCTCGTGTTATCTGAGATGAAAGAAGGGAACGCGGCAATGAAGTATGAACCATAGAAAAGTTTAAGTTAACTAAAGAGAAAGTAGCGTAATGAGTTTATGCTGCAATTGCAAAGTAGCTTCCTAACTCTGAAAAAAGAATAAAGGCTTTATAGGTGTTGGGCCCTCGCTTCCCAAAAACTGGCTTCGTATCTCCATCTCGATGAATTGTAGCTAGGACATCGTTCCAAAATTTCAGTTAGGTGTAATCATACAGCTCTCCTTTCACGCTAATTGATTTTCGTTGTCGCCAAAACACTTACCGTATTCCAAAATTAAGTTTGCAAGGTGTAGGTGAACCGATCGGAGTACTTTCCTGAAGATTTGGTAGGCTTTCGTACCCTTCCTTGGTAAAATCTCTAGCAACTCCTCACATTGTCCCCATCGTGTTGGTTTCGCTTTTATTTTCTCTTCTTCAGATTGGGTAAATACATTATCAGCTGCCATTTTTGGTAAAACTTCGTCTGGATTCATATCTTTTAAAAGATCACGTTTTACTCGATTTAAAATCTTCCTTTGCTTGTCACTCAGTGGTTTGTTCCTGGCTATCCCAGTTGCCATGATGCCGATTTCGTTGCAACTGAAAAGTTCTGTGAAGAAATAACTATGAAATGTGTGATTTGGTTCTCGTTATGATTACACAAGTGTTTAAATAGAAAGATGGTCATATGGAAACAGTCACTATTTGTTTTAGAACACTAATCGATGAAATACGGGAGGTTGTCAGTGTTTATTCAAAAGATCACAAGAAATTATATTCACTCTGCGTTTTAGTGCATCGAGGAAAGTAGAAAAAACGGGAAGAAACTAACAAAACACTACAATACACATAGGCCACGGAATCACAAAGAGCTTAGACATTAAGTACATGGGCATTCCGACATCATTCTAAGGAACTCGATCAATTTTGGTAGTGACAAGACATGGTTATGCCTTCGCTTTCAGTGAATATTAAGCTTCTGTTTTGATTAGACGGAGACAAATTCAACAGTCTTACAACATTGCAAGGAAATTTCGTAGTCCCGAGTTAAAGACAGCTACCAGCTGATTACAACCAATCACACCCAATTACAATATATCACGTTTTAAAATAAGATACAACCTTATACTTGGAAATAAGGCAGTAAATTGCATCAAATAAACATAATGGATAAACTCCCTCCCTTACCATGAAATCGTTTGATCGAAGTGGTAAAAAAGTAACTTATTTTTGTATGAGTTGATGAGCTAAGGATTTGTTTGATGTAGGTATACTTTTCTAGACTTTTCTACGCTCTATTTATACACGTACTGCTTGTGACGGAAATAACTCCCTGCCCAGAGGAAATTGTCCAACTGCTTTCGGTCACCAAACGATATATCTGTTTCTTAAATTATAAAAATCAAGTACCTGCATGCAAAACGAGGTCATTTACAAACTAAATGTCGTTTTCAATTTCAGAAAATACACATTTCCTAAATGTGATTACATCACAAGCCGAAAATTTGACCTTAACAAGTGACTAAGTCGGCTAAACGTCAGGGCCTGTTCACCAATACTGAAATTAAACCCGAAGGCGCGCTATAAAAGGGCATTAGCTCCTCCCCCTAATTTTGAATTCACCCCAAAAAAATAAAGATGGCGGACGATGAGGAGA